GAATGAAAATTGAAATATTTTGACTATGATTCTTGCAAGTAAACCATAAAGGTTTTATCATGTCTACAACAGAAAACTGATCTACTAATTCAAATTTACATAGAACATGCATATTGTACAAGGAAATTTTAGTGGATATTTTTAAAGAAAAATAATTTGCTAAAGAAAACTAAGATATTTGACTGTGTAAAATTTTATTTATCTATATATATATTTCATCAATTGATACGTATCATTTGATGAAATTGATCAATTGATACGTAACACAAGCGTTACACGTGACGTCTCCACCTAACTATCGAGCCCAAGCACGCATGTAATTATTTTTGATGAATTGAATTAAATAGATATTTAAATGAGAAGGATAGAAAACAATAAAGAATGCCTATTCCTGGGGATTCGACCCCCACGTGTTGCACTAAAGAGGGAGTGTACCACGTCCAGTGGTTTGCGTTAATTAATCGACTTTTGTCCGTGGGCCGAATGTACGTCCATGGGCACCCCACATTAACTTGACTACCTGTCACATTCTACCATCTTCTTGTTGAAAAGATAAATACACTATTCGAGCTTGTCCCAATGTGTATTATCTTTTCATCTAAGCTATATTATATGTATTCCATTGTAAGCATCAGTTTTTTGTATATATAATTTTCGTTAAAACTCACATGTTATGTCCAGTTTATTGTTATCATTCGTCGATAGAAAACCATCTATATCGCCCCATGTCTTTTTATACTAATAGTTTGTCCAATACATGCCCCAAGAGCCACTCAGGATAGAAGGTTACTGAATGAGGCTGTTGAAGAAAAGAAAGAGGACTCGCCTTTCTACATCTGTAAATCACAAACATTCCCTCCGTATTCCATTTGCAAGAGGAAGTTCTGTTCAGGCGGATCCCCCATAATAACTGTTCTATTTCTAAAACTAAAATCGTTCTTTGTCGCCCGAACCGTACGTCCTCTTTAAAAGTCCAAACTTTTCGAACATTGACTTAACCAGTCCTACTCTATGGATCAGAAACTTGGACATTATCTGTTTGTTTTGAAAGACAACTGGATGGAACATATACAAATGTAATTATCCAGAACATCAGTTGAAATCATAGGAGGCAAATTTACGGAGAACTGAGACCAAATCTCTCAAACAAAAGCGATTGCAGTTTGCCGGCCACTGCCTCCGAGTGGGCGGGGAGGTCGTCTCATCCTTATTTCTATGGCATCCTTCTCCTCGATGTCTTCTCACGCAAGTTTACTTTCCCAGACACCATTGCTCGGGACATATGATTGGACATTGGAGATCTGGAGACGGCAGTGCAGGACTGTGCAGTGTGGAAAGAGATTTTTAATGGAGTTCCGTCCCACCACGGGGAGGTTGAATAATAATAATAATAATAATAATAATAATAATAATAATAATAATAGTGAAAATCTTCGACTCTAGGGTCATTCGCTCTCTATCCCTCTTATTGTCTTAATCTTCACTTCCTTCTATTTCCGCTTATGTGCATATCACTCTCTCACCAACTTCCATGAGACTTACGGCCACATCACTTTGAAACGCTGAAGTTAAGCAACGTCGATCCTGGTCAGTAGTTGGAAGGGGTATCGCTTGGGAATACCAAGTGCCGTAAGCGTGGATATGCAGTGATATAATGGACACTAGCTTGGAATTGTTAATCAGAGAACCAAGTTCCAATTCTTATTGTTTTTGTTTGTTTTTTTTTATATATTTACATAAGAGTAAATACCTTTCGGAAAGGTATGAATTCTCCGTTTCTCCTTGAACCACTTAACTGTATCACTAAATCATTATTTTCTAGAGGTGAAAATGCAGGGTCTCTTCTGTGATGATGGAATCTCACTAGTTTGGATTTAAAGGTATTGATTGTAACTAGCCAGTTCTTTGACAAGAACTGGCTGGTTACTGAGCTGCATGAGCTCGGTCAGAGAAGAGATCAGCTGACAAATCAATGTAACGGCAGATCAATACTTATTGAGCTATACATTTGTCACCCAAAGTGGATCGAAGACAATTCTCAATAGTAATAGTTAACACCGATTAAACTTATTAACCATTACACACATCCAGGCACGGAAAAGACGTTATTTTAAGTTATAGAAACGTATCTAAAAGCGAAACGTTTCTCTTGCTTACTGCATTCATTCACTTTTGCAAAAAAAATTGACGATTCTATTCGTATATCGCTTAAAATTCAGCTTCAAGACTAAATAGAGATAAAAGAGAATTCACTGCGATAGCAAGCTGTCACGAAACTAGATTATCTCACAAGAAAATGTCTTCGGATTAATCAAAAACATCACCGTATGACGGATATATAAATACGATGCTATTTGCGAGTTTTAAAACCGACGAATGCCAATAAATTAAATTTATCGAGAAGTCATCCCAAAGTGAAAACATACTGTTTAACAAAAAAGAAACCTTCTCGTAATTAGATCAAGTTTGGCAACTAACACATCATTTAGAATTGTTTCTCAATCAAAAAATGGATAACATATTGACCTTTACATATTTTACTAGACTAATGTAAATAGGATTCTGTGAATGAAGAATATTCTCCGCGTCGGAATCAAAGAACTTTGGATAAACGGTCCGTGGTTTAGTTTTAATTACTGCATTATTAAACAAAGGATTTTCCTATATCTATCTTATTTACACTGTTCGGGCTGTTGTCTACATCTTTCTTGCCATCTATAGTGTTTTATCCACTGGACAACGTGTCTCCCAAGGATGAGGATAAAACCGTAGGTTGAAGTAACCCAGTGACTTGACCGAAAGAGTTGTGAGTTCAGTTCCTGGCCACAAGAGAGGTGAACAGAAACTTGGATAATTGAGTTTCGAAAGGGAGATAACTGAAGCTGAGATACCCGAAATAGGCACTGGAATATGGAACTAGAACAAACTACTCCTTTGGACGAAATGAAGGTTTCGGTGAGAAAATGCAATCACCTGAAGAAGTCAAAAGCGTACAACGGACGAAACGTTGTTAATATGATAACAAAGATGAGGACAACAGACCGAGCAGTGTAAATAGTGTAAATAATTGCAATACATCACCCCAGAAATATAGACAGATCTTGCAGATGGCCGGAGTGTACCTGCCAGAAACGTCATTAATATGACAACAATGATAAGAACAATAATCCGAACAGTGTAAATAATTGGAATAACGCACCTCAGAAATATAGACAGATCCTGAACAAGGCAGGAGCGTAAAACAACTGAAACGTCTTTAATATGAAAACAAAGATAAAGGCAACAGTCCGAACGATGTAAATAGTGTAAATAATCGCAATATCTCATCCCAGAAATATATAGATCTTGAAGAAGGCCGAGGCGTTTCTGGCAGAAACGTCGCTAATATAACAACAGCGATGAGGACAATAGTCCGAACAATGTAGTGTAAATAATTACAATACATCACCTCAGAAATATTGACAGATAGCGAAAAGTCTATTATGACTGAAAGAATGAAACTCAGCATTATCAGAATTAGGATCCTCGTTTATTTTTGATTTTTTAAAACAAACTCCCAGTTTCTCTTTTGCTTGGCTGAAATACTTCTAACGCGTTGAACATTGCATTGAATGAAAACCAAAATCATCTCGTATAAGACATTTTTAAATAAAAGTGATTTATCAAATTTCCAACGCTTCATTTTTTATGTGACAATAACATTAGGGGGAAACAGCATGTGCAATAACTTATTGACGACATTGTTACTAAGAACTTTCGATTTTCTGAGCGTCACATCATCACGGTTGTCGTCACGTAGGAATCGCAAAATGAGATCTAATCTATCTTAAGCCCGTTTGTGGTTGGCTGATTGATTTCAATATATTTCGATCTTTTTGTAGGGAGACTATTTAATACTGAATATCGCATAGGACATATAGTAAGTTTCGACTTTACTTGTAGTTGTCTAAAGGATATCTAAAATAAAAATTTACACCCACAACAAAACGATTTTATTTAAGATATAATTAATAGGCTTAATTTTTACTACTCTCAATGGGATATTTTAAGAGATGCCTTGGAACAAATATGAAACGATGTTTCTCGTAGACTTAATTATAGGAAAAAACAAATTATTTTCTTGAAACAACATTTAATCTGACTTTTTAAATTGGTAACGCGCAGTTTCCTGTTGTTTCTCATTCCCTCAGTCTTGAGAGTGTTTCTTCAATATATGTTTTAGAAATATCAGCTCTTTTTTTTATTTTTTTAAAATTTCAGCTGAAAGAAAACATATTCTGATACTCGGCTATAGACATTGTCAATTACGAATGCATGGAAATGATGATTTTAATGTGTCATGTCCTTTTACGGTGGGATGAATCATGGCCCCACCACTTCCCGTCTTTATTTGTTGCAAGTAACTTTTGACTATTTAACATCTGTCAATGATCTTGTCCTGTCATCTATTCAGGCAAACATCATAAGTAGATTACTAGCAGACTGCACCTGCTTCACTTGTCTTCGATATGTTATTTGATTGTGAAATTCTCTCGACCTACTGTCTTCATTGTGTTTCAGTAATTTCAGGTGTTTGTAACTAGCAATTTCCTTGTTGTTTATCGAAGTTTAACAAAAGATACAAAGTTGGCAGGTTTTATTATAATGAAGACTTCTCGTACTTGGGACTTTCTGATATATTTTTTTATCTCCGGTTACCAACAATTTTAAATCTATTCAATTTATTTTGTTTTGCCTAAATAGCCTATTATAAAATTTTCGTTTAAGGCTAGATTTCAAAATTGAACCTAGAGAGCCAATATGCAAAAATCCTGGTTTCTCGGTTTAAGGACAATTTAAATAGATTTTAAAAATTGGTTAAATATTTTCGAATAATCCCCTGCTTTTCATAACATAATTTTTCTTCTTCATTGTAACATGGGCGGTCATGACTTCCCACGCACTCCTATTCATTTCACTCCCAGCAACGCTTTGTCCCTTTGCCATTCCTTTCACCAAGCTTACGGTCATATGGGGGTTAAACATCGGTTCTCGTTCGATCACCGAAGTTAAGCAATGTCGATACTGGTGGGTACCTAGATAGGTAGCCGCTTGGGAATATCTGATGCTGTAAATTTGGATGTGCTAGTGGTGTAATAGTTGATATGTTGAAATGTGATAACGGAGAGCCGAGTTCGAATTTCAGTCGACTTCGGTACATTAACATATGCAAATATACCCTCGGGAAGGGTATGAATCCTTGTCCACTCCTTCTCAACTATGGTTGAAATGGTGGGATTGTATCTAGAAATATCATTGTTATTCAACAGAAATTGTCAATTAAATATTCACTCAGAAATCAAAGAAATATTGTTACAATTAAAAAGAAAGTTTTGGCGTCAAATAACACACTGAGACTTCATAAGCTATAAAACAACAAATCGTTAATCATTGCAGACTATTGAACTTTAAAATCACTGTTTGTTCATTTTAAAAAAAATTCGAATAATCCAGGAAAGTCTAAAATTATCCGAACACTTGTCTAAAGCTATTGCTAAAGTGCGGATGATTTTTGCCTTACACTCGTAATTACGATGTTATATTTGCAAATAAAAGGCCATGATTTTGTGTTTTTTAAAACCTCCAAATTTTAGCGATTAATACTTTCAAGAAAACATTTTGTTTTGACGGTGATGTGTTTCAAAATAACGTGTTTAGTCAAAAGTATTTTTATATTTGAGTTATGGTCAGCAATCTAGTCTTTCTTTAAAGAATTTGTCAAACAGTCGTTCATTCACAAACCTCCAATATGCTGAATAGTAGGTCTGTAAATTCATATTTTTTCTACACTAATTTTTAGCAAAAAATTAACGCAGATCATGCCCAGTCCGGATGTTAGTGATCAAATCATCTTACCCTCTCACAGCCATACCAATGCCTGGTAAATATCTATACAGATGTAAGTAAATATGTGGTTAAATATATATATATATATATATATATATATATATATATATATATGTTTATGAAAAACTAGGTAATCCGTATGGGTAAACCTAAGGAGGATGAAATACAGAGAGCTCAATGTAAATCCAAAGCAAATAATTTAAATAAAAACAGACCACTTTAAGGTTCCATGTAATAAATTATTTCACCACAGCCCTTTTAATGGACTGCGGATCATCAGACTTTTTCCAAACAAAAATGAAAAGAAAATTTACACATTTTTGACGGGCCGTATTAAACATATGTAAATTAACGAAGTGAGGAAGTGAGGGGGGAGAGAGAAGACATGAGTGAGTTAGCAGATATTGACACATTTAAACGGTTAACTTAACGGATGTTATATATTGATATCGAAGGGGTAGAGAAGAAAAAACCATAGAGAGAATTAGAGAGAAGGAAGTTATGAGAGAAAGTATCACTAATTTTCTTTGTAAAAAAAAGGCTAGAAACAGACGCTGTTATTTTGCTCTACTTTGAAAGTAATATTTTGGGGGTTCATAAAGATTATAATGTTTGATATAAATTTGAATGTCTCTAGACTGTCTACAAATAATTTAATTTGACCTTTGTTAGTGATTTAATTTTTTTTTAAATTTTGGGTATTTTCTATGAAATAGTCGATTAGAAAAATATTCATAGAAAGTACATTAAAAGAATAAAATTTTATTTTAAAATATACGTTTACTTCTAGTAATCTTTTTTTAATCTTTTTAAAAAATATTATTATTGATTAAGTTGACATCTCTATCCGTTTGAATTTTGTTCATGAATTTAACTCGTGACTGTAGTTAATCTCTTTTACTTAAATTTTAGTTAAGTTAATATGGAGTAATATTTGAAGGTAAAATTAAAGATCTTGCTCTGTCATATAATGTATACACACCCATGCAAATATCACATATACACACGTTCCTTTAAATATTCAATCACTCATACAGGTACCCATGTGCAGAAATACACAGGTAACTTCATGTATTAACATCTACATAAATATTAAAAAAAATTCCAATTTAAATATTTTATCATTAATAATGATTATTAAAGGGTAATATATTTCAATTTAAATTAAATTATCAATTTAAAAAAATTTCCTCCATAATATAAAGAATTTTAAACTCACACTTCCAATTGGAGAATATTAAATGAGAAAATGAGATAAAACACTAATAACAGGACTGTAAGTCTTTCTTTTATAATATTCTATATATCCATAAATATACATCTATACACATATCCGTACACATACACACATACATATATATACATATCCATATAGATGCATATATTCACATACACACATACACACACATATATATATATATGTGTGTGTGTATGTATGTATATACTCATACATACACACATACACATGTAGATATACACACTCATACATACATAAACATTTACATATACACACACATATACCCACATATATACACACATATATATACATATACACACGCATATACATATACACATATACACACAAATATACATATACATATATACACCCACATGTGCGTGCATGAAAAAAACATATCAAAATCTATACTTAATTACCTTATTATATCTATATTCTACGATATTATATATATGAACTCACAATTTCTCATATTTATACATACATACATACAATATCTATGGAACGACATACATGTACCCATCTATATATACACACCCACACTCACACATACATATATAGAAATTATAAAAAAAAATTGTATACATACACATCCACACATATACATGTACCCACATACCCACACATACACATATCTACACCCATATTTACATATAACTACATATATATATATATATAAAAGTTCACCTATATACATACAAGTATATATACATACATATCCATATCCATACCCACCCACTCCGAAAATGTGTCCACAACACACAAAAATAACACATGCATGACTGTCTTTCCATATAAACGCATATAGATATACATATCAAAAGACGTATCAATGTTCAAGTTCAATTACATAGTTATATACATACAGTTAAAAATTAGTTCATTATGTTTGTTTAGTAATAAATTCTAATTTAAATGCCGACATAAGAACAACCTAAATGTAACTAAATATATTTAGGAATCACTATATAGGAAGAGTAATATTACATGATCTTGGATTTTGTTTTGGGAAATGTTGCTATGCACACATAAGTGCGAACACATAACTATATATATATATATATATATATATATATATATATATATATATATATATCAATTTTATTTCACTTCTTCACAAGATTACGATCCTTAGCTATGATTAATTTATAAGGAACATGCTATCTTCGTTTATAATTGATTTCATCATGATACTTCCATTAAGCTTGGAGATACATTTTTGTTCAAAGGAGACTCCAATAGTATTATAAAAACGGCGGAAGAATTCCAGTAAGATAACTTTAATCATTTCTAAGATACAATGGTTCAAATTTTACTCAAACAAATGGATAATTTTGTATTTACACGATTTGGACAATTTTGTCCTTACATCCAGTATGTATATCAACGACCATGGAAAGAAAGTCCTTTCAGCCCCTCCGGGTGACTTGTGTCAAACTCAGATAAATGTTTCTTATATTTATTCTTGGACAGCGATCACGGCTCTCCACAATTTCCTGTTTTTACTATTCTGTTGATTTGTCTCAACCTTTCTATAAGTCCTACAGTGATTTATTAATGGTGCTCACGATGTTAACAATATAAAACGTGGAAATGCAACAGTGACGAAAGCAGACACAGAAATGAAACAACAGAAGAGGGTAAAGGAAAGAATAAACATAAATAAGGAAAAAAAAGGACGAGAGATGACACACCGGAACATATAAGCAAAATTTGTAATTTTAAGAAATATATATATATATATATATATATATATATATATATATATATATATATATATTGTGTGTGTGTGTGCGCGCGTGTGCAAGTGTACTTGTGTGTTTATGTATATATATATATGTATATATGTAGTTTCAGTTGCAAACTATGTTTGTTTTTATTAAATATAAAAAAACAGTCATATCAACTCAGATATGTGTACCATCTAAAAATTACGTTTATAGTAATGAGAAATAATGTTGGATAAAAAATAATTAAATAATATATATATATATATATATATATATATAAAAAATATGGTTGTAATTTATGGTATATTTATTGGATAAGAGTGCTGAATATCTTGGACAGTGCATATTTGAATATAAATTTAAAAGTGGGCATTGTGGATCTTCAGGCCGTATATATATATATATATATATATATATATATATATATATATATATATATATATATGAATTCAAAAAGCAAATGACTCCATACACCCTAAAAGGATTCCAAGCATATTAAACGACTGAGATTTAATCAACTGAATTTCTGAGATTTAAGCAACTACCTACTGACTAATTGAGCAATTTACGAATTTAAAGGCCACATTTGGAACATGTGAATAATTTCATAGCTAAGAAATACAGATAGAAAATTTTATTTCATAGTAACATCTGTCCTACACACACACACACACACACACATGCATACACACGCATATATATATGTGCGTGTGTGTGTGTGTGTGTGTGTGTGTGTGTGTGTGTTGTGTGTGTGTGTATAATTATGAATAGAAACAAAAATGATGCCATTAATCCAACTGACAATACAAAAATATTTTTTTTCTGATATTAATTTTCGGTGTTTTATTTTTCTTTTAGGCTTCCAGTTGCTTGATTTTTCCTTGTGAAATATTTTTGTGTCTTTTTTTTTTTATTTTTCCATTCATCTTTCCATTTTCATCTCGTCTTGACTGACGTTCCGATGTGATGAACTGAAATTCATCGGGCAAATATATGTTCCCGGCTAAGTAACACATCTTAAATGCAATTAGACAGAAAGAAAGAAGCTACGAAACGAAAGTCGGAAACTGATCAGACAGAGGGAGAGATTTAATCACATTAAAACCAGAATCGACTTTCAGCAAGCATTTCTTTTTTGACCTTTGAAAAACATGAATTCAAGGAAATGTTTTCTTTGATGACATTAAAACCTATGATGATAATGCATTTCTTCGGGTCTCCAAGGCTTTCTTGGTTCATAGACGCTAACTATATCGACAT